GGATCTAAAACAAGCTTATAAAATGCTTAAGAAAACAAATAAACAAAACACAATCAAACTGAACTAAAAAACCTGGCTGCACTTCTCTGTCATTTCTAAGATCTAAGCAATGCCATCAAACTACAGGAAGGAGCGCCCCAGTGGTCTAACAGAAGAGATTCCCAGGCCTTCCGTTCATGCTTCCTCTCCTACAGCCAAACATTCTCCAACCAATGCCCCTTCCTTCCAACCTCCATGGGGCCTCCATATGCTATTAGCTCTGTGGGGGGGAACATCAGGCAGAGCAGAGGAATGGAAGGGGTGACATGTTTGGAGTCCAAGGGACCTGAGCTTACTGCATAACCTTAGGCAAGTTAAACTAAGCTAGGCCTGAGTTTCCATCCCTATAAAAATGGAATAGCAAATAATATTTTCCACAGGGTTATAATGTGTAGAATGCATCAAGAATTTGCAGCAAAAGGCAATAACAGAGTGAAAAGGCAACCTATGGAATGGGAGAAAATATTTGCAAATCATATATCTGATGAGGGGTTAATATGTGAATCTATAAAGAACTCCTGCAACTCAACAACAAAAAACAAATTTCTTTAGTTAAAAATGGGCAAAGGATTTAAATAACAAGTCTTTCCAAAGACAATATACAAATAGCCAACCAGCACACAAAAAGATGCTCAGCATCACTTGCCATGAGGGAAATGCAAATCCAAACTGCGTATCACCTTATACTAATTACAATGGCTACTACCAAAAACAAACATACAAACAAAATAACTGTTCGAAAGCATGTGAAGCAATTGGAAACTTTGGCACACAGCTGGTGGGAATGTAAAATGGTACAGCCACCATTTTATGGAAAACAGTGTAGTGGTTCCTCAAAAAATTATAAATAGAATTACCATATGATCCAGTAATTCCACTTCTGGGTATCCACCCAAAATAATTTAGATCAGGGTCTCAAAGAGATTTGTAGACCCATGTTCAGAGCAACTTCATTCACAATCACCCAAAGACAGAAGCAACCCAAGCATCCATCTATGGATGAATAAACAAAATACAGTACACATCTTCAATGGTATATTATTCAGCCTTCAAAAGGAAGGAAATTCTGAAACATGCTACAATATGATGAACCTTGAGGACAGTATGCTAAACTAAATCATCCAGTCACAAAAAGACAAATACCGTATGATCCACTTCTATGAATAGCTTGGGTAGTCACACTCACAGAAACACAAAGCAGAATGGTGGTTGCCGGGGGCGAGGAAAGGGGAAAACGGAAAGTTGTTTAATGAGCACAGAGTTTCAGTTTTGCAAGATGAAAAGTTCTGGAGCTTAGTTGCACCACAGTGTGAATGTGTGTAATGCCACCAGTCGGTGCCCTTAAAAATTAGTAGGATGGTACATTTTATGTTATGTGTATTTAACAATTTTCTAGAAAGCATCTAGAACTGTAGTTCTCTCATTTCGGTAAGCATAAGTAACCGCAGGTGTCTGTTAAGCATGCAGATTCCAGGTGCCCTTCCCCAGATAATTCTGATTCAATAAAGTTTGAGTATGTGGCCCTGGCATCTGCATTTTCATCAACACCACAGGCATATTTAGTGCATTAGGAGCTCATTTATTAGGATCAGAGGATATTCTTTTGAACATTCTGCTCTGCTGATTAGAATCTATTTAAGTGTGTGTGTGTGTGTGTGTGTGTGTGTGTGTGTGTGTGTGTGTGTGTGTGTCTGAAGAAGGAAAGAACAAACTCGTGTTGAATCTAGCTACAGGTCCAACAAGATAGCCCTCCAGTCCTAAGGGAAATAAGAGCTACAAAGCTGCTATGTGCAACCCCCAGGCTCCAGGCCCACAGGGCTCTCACATTTCTGCCTGGACAGGCTCTGCATCTTGCCAGAAGCGTGTCAAGTAAACCAAATGCATGCCCACAGGATGTCCCCAACAAGGGAGGTAATGTCAAGCATACTTTGCAGTGGCTTTGCCTCCCAGGCAGCTAGACACAGAAGACCTAACTCTGGCAAACCCACTCCAACTAGCGCAGGGAAGCCACGATTCCCAAGGGCAGCCCAGCGAGCAGAAGGCCAAGGAGAGCCTGGAGGGGGCCGTGGCCCGGGAAATGCTGGCCAGGGCGGTCCTCAGTGAGAGCCAGAGCACCCTGGGGAGAGACAGCTCATTCAAGAAACCCAGGCCTCCCCTCCACAACCCAACCTGCAAAGGAGGCTCTGCTATCTCAGCCTAACCACATCCAGCCATGTAGTCATCTGCTATCTTCGTCATCATAATAGCACCTTCGACTTTTCCCATGCTCTACTCCAGCACCATCATTATTTTGCAGTGTGGCAAGGGTGTCTCCCTTTGAGCATGGAGCACTTCCAGCAAACTAAGGCAGAGGGGCCTATGCCATTTGGATTCTGATTCCCCCAGAAGCAGATCCTCCATGAAATGGATGGAGACTACACTTCTCCGTCACCCATTCCAAAGCCCTGAGTGGGCATCCAGCAGTGTGCTCACATGGCGTAGTTCTGTAACATGTACAAACACAGGATATTCTTGTGTTCTTTTTCTTAAAACTCTCCCCCCAACAAATTGTATAAACATCGGACCTGGGGAAAAAAAACTCGATCTGCTGCTGGCTGCTGAACTGCACTTAAGTTTCATGTAGACCCCCACCTCCTGCAGTGCCAAGTGCTATCACATACATTAGCTCATTCAGCCTCTTGACTGATTACCTTTATGGGGTAGGCTTTATTCTTAAGACACTTTTACATTACGGAAATGGGGATTCAGAAAGGTTGTGTGACTTACCTAGGGCCACCTGGGGTCCAGAAGATAGCCTGAGAGTCAAACTCAAGCCCCTAAAAAATCCAAGCCCAGTGTTCTTTCTACTATACCATCACTTCCTGGTTGTCCTGTTAAGGACTAAATAATAGGCCAGGTGTGGTGGCTCATGCCTAGTGGCTCACGCCTGTAATCCCAGCAATTTGGGAGGCCAAGGCAGGAGGATTACTTGAGCTCTGGTGTTCAAGACCAGCCTGGGCAACATAGCAAGACCCCATCTCTACTAAAAATAATAATAATTTAAAAAATAGCTGAGCATGGTGGCAGGCACCTATACTACTTGGGAGGCTGAGGTGGGAGATTCACTTGAGCCCAGGAGTTCAAGGCTGCAATGAGCCATGATGGTGCCACCGCACTCCAGGCTGGGTGACAGTGAGACCCTGTATCAAAAACAAAACAAAACAAAACCAAAAAAAAAAAAAAACCAAACTCTAAAAATAAATAAATAAGCTACTCCTCTCATTCATCTGTTAACAAGCCTCATAATAACCGCTGCTGTTTACTGACTTCTTGCCATGTAGCAGGCACTGAGCTAACTTTCTTGCAATATTTCATTTACATCTCACCATAATCCCATGAGATGAATATTATCATCAGTTTTACTCTACAGATGAGGAAACTGAAACTCAGAAAAGTTCAATAATATGTCCAAGCACACACAGTAAATAGGAAAGCCAAGACTTAAGCTGAGATCTAATCATAAACTCTCTGCACAGAACCATGGTGCAACATTCCAGTTGTAAGTGGTGAAAGATCCCTAGCAGGATGGAGACAGGGCAAGGAAAATGCCTTGAGCCTGAATCAGGAGTGACCCAAAGCCTAGAAGGAGTGAAAAATGTAGATAACAGAAGATAAGTTCAGGTTCAAATGAACCAGTAATCCCCATATCAACTGCTTCCCATGGGTCCTGGAGCCCGGGTCCCAAGCAGAAGCCTCATCTCTCAGAGGCCCTATTTAAAGATGCTAAGCGTTGTACAATATCTCCAAGTACCTCACATGATTTCCAACGAGCAAGAAAGGTGTCACCATCTGTAACTAAACATCCTAGTACACTGAGTTTTTCAGTTAGTCCAGGCTTCACAGAGCTTATCTTTTAACTTTCTAAGCTTTGCTGGTGCCGCTGATAAGATTTTCTAGCCCTGTTAAAACGAGATGAGATCTAGCCAGCTGTCGAGAAATGTACAATGAGATTATACTGAGAAGGAACCACGAGAGACAAAGGCCCCTAAGAGGAGCCGGCCTGCTGTCTGCTTTTGTGGCAGCAATTGGAGTGGGCTCTGGTTTTGGGTGGGGGCAGGGAACAGGGAAGGGGTGACCGCCATTTGCCTTTTGCCCTCCTGTGGTCTTCCTCAGTGCCTTGCGCAAGAGGCTGTTGAGGCGCAGGAAACAGAAGAGTCTCATCTTTCATGGTGAGAAGCACTGGTGATTTAGAACAGTTGTGTGTTTGGTAACAAAGAGGATAAAAGATGCTCTTGGGTCCACCCCGTTCCCCGGTGCCTGCCTCTGAGGATGTGATGTCCGCTGCTGCCATGCCTCAGCTCTTGTCCTGGCCCCTGCCCCCTCGCTGGTACTGGAGTCACTCACTGTAGGGTGCTCGAAGTGCCCACCATGTTCCTGCATGGGTACTCTGGGTCTCGGGTACCCAGGCTGGGCATGTCACCTTGCAGACAGGTGCCCGAGGGTTCAGGTGTCGTCTCTGCTGTGCCCAGGTCAGAGAGGCAGTGATGCCCCAGGGGCAGGTGCACGAAGGTCTGCACCCACATGACCACAGAAAGCCGGACCCCAGGCCAGGCGGGTCAAACGACTGACTGTCCCCAGTCTGTGCCCCGGTGGGCCGCCTCCCTCTCGCACGCGCAGAGGTGGCTCTCGGCGCCCCTCACCTGCCCAGGCCCTGGGGGCGCTGCTGGCACTCGGGTCCCCCAGCTCCTCCCGCCTCCTGCCGCCAGGCCGAGCCCGGGCACCGGCAGCCGCGGCGCGCTCAGGGCTCGTCAAAAGCCGCCCGGGCCTGTCCCCGCCGCGGGCCGGGCACGGAGCCCGCAGGCCTCGGCGCGGCCCGGCTCCTCCCGTCCGCCCGCCCCTCGGCCCGGGGCCCGCGCCCGCCCTCCCTCCCGGCTACACGGCCGGCTCGGCCGAGCCTTCGCGGCGTGCGGGCCTCACTTAACTGTTCCCCGCTGAGGCGGCGGCGGCGGCTGCGGCGGCGGTGGGTCCCGGCTCCGTCTCACGCAGAAGCAGCTTCTCATCGCCCGGGCGGCGCGGGAGGGGCCGGGCCCGAGGCCCAGGCGGCGGGAGCCGGCGCCGCAGCTCGAGCGCGAGCCTCACCGGGAGCGGCGGCGGCGGCGGCGGCGGCGGCGGAGGGGCGGAGGGGCGGGGCGCGGCCTGGCGGCGGCGGCGGCGACAGCGGCGGCAACAACGACGGCGGCTGCGGCTCCCTCCGCGGGCCGCGGCGGCGGCGGGCCGGGCTCCGGGTCTCCTGGCGCTGGCGCTGGTGCTGGCTCAGGCTCGGGAGAGGCGCCCGGCGCCCGAGGCTGGCTCGGGCAGGAGGAGGGAGCGGGAGCCCTGGCGTCCCGAGCCCGCGCCGCCGCCCCGGCCGGCACCCCGCCTCCCCAGCCTCCCTCACGGCCCAGCCCGTCAGCACCAGGCAGGGCCCCGGCGCGCCCACCTGGGCCTCCTTGAGCCCGCCGGCGACCCTAGTCCAGCCTCAGTCCCCCGGAAGCCCTCGGCCCCTGGAGCCTGGGACATCGGTGGTCCCTGGCCGCAGACTGGTCTTTTCCTGGAACCCTCAGCCCGCTTAGCTCTCGTAGGCCTCGCTGTACCCAAGACCAGTCTTCAGCTCAGCTGCACGTCCCTGGAAGCCCCCAGGCCCTCAGGCTAGAAATTGGCCCCTTCTAGGGACTCTCCGCCCACGCAGCCATTCTAGGCTTCACTGAACCCTAGACTCCAAAGCTCATCTCCCCACCCACCCTCAGCTCAGCCAGTCGTCTAAAGCTAACCCCAATTTCCTGGCAATACTCGGGCTTCCTCTTATGCTGGTTAAATGATTTATCCTTGGAGGCCTAGAGCCAGGTGTATGGGGCCAGCCTCAGGCGAGCATCTAGAAGGTGAGGATTTTAGCCTCCGGCTAAAATCCTATTCTGCAGTACTTGGGGAAAGGAATAAGCCAAGGATAAAGTGGAGCTGGATGGGTGGGGGAGGGCCCAGACCCTGACCCTCAGCTAGAGTAGCTGGTAGGAAAGGCGGACTCTGTGTCTGAACCAACCATGCCCCACACACCCCAGCCAGGCACCCCAGGCAGAGGCCAGCGTGTGCAAGATTTGAAAGATTTCTTGCCAGGAGGCTGCATCATTCAGCAGGAGCTGAGGACCATGCAGGAGTGATCAGCATGGATTTGCTAATGCATTGAGTCTCATTTTCACATATTCTTGGCTTTTCCACAATAGCTGTTTGATCCTAAAGAAAAGGGTACCAAGCAGAATGGACTGTCAGGGGGAAAACATCCTGTGGGGAAGCCATGCACTCGTGCATTCCCAGTGTCTTCACTACTCAGAAATGACATGGGTTCAGGTGGCTTGACAGCAAGTCCTATCATCCCATCAGGGGACAGATAATCCCTATGTTACTTAAACTGTTACACAGGAAAAATTAAAAGAAACAAAAATGTTATTTCATTTCCCAAGTTTAGCATAACCCTGATACCAAAATCCAGCAGACAATACTGAAAAGAACTGCAGATGACCAACCTAGAACAGGAGTCCCCAGAGAATTTCATATTTGTTTTTTTGAAAATGGGCTTCTGCAGACAACTTGAGAAGGTGCTGCACGTCATTTATAGTGTACTTTTTGGAGAATCACACTAAGTGTTGGTATATTAAGGAAGGTCTCTGTAAAGTCCAGGAGTAAAGAAACCTGTTTGGTTTGTTTAACCTGGCATTTCCCAAACTCATCTGAGCCAGGACCACCTTCTAAAGCTCACTGATTAGTCTTCAATATGTGAATCTCCGCTATAGATCAACTCATTTAAGTATATGGTAGTGACAAAACTATTAAATAAAATTATAGCAATTTGAATCCAGTTTACTATTAAAGGAACTCAAAACCCACCATGATCAAGCAAGATTTATTTCAGAAGTGCAAGAAAAATTCAACATTAGGGAATTTGTAAATTCATTGCATTGTTAAAGGAAAACAAATTACAGGACATTATCAATGGGATGGATGCTTTAAAAGTATATGACAAACTTCAAAACGAATGACTTATAAATTTTTAAAAACTCTTTAGTAAACTATTATAGAAAGAAAATTTAAACTTTTAACATGACAAAGTTTATCAGAAGCCATCAACAAACATATTTAATGGTGAAACACTAAGGGTATTCCCATTTAAGTTGGAGTCAAAAGGATGCCTGCTATAATGGCTATAGAATAAAGCCAATGCAATAAGATAAGAAAACTAAATAAGAAATATAAATATTAGAAGGGAAGAGATAAAATTGTCATTATTTGCTCATGTTTTGTTTCCCAAAAAATAAAAATAAAAAAGAATCAACTAAAAATCAGAGACTTTGGTAAGGTGGTCAATTATAAGATAAACACCAAAATGAATGGTTTTCCTAAATGTTAAGGGAGAAGCCTTCTTCTTTTATTTTTTCTCATCCTGTCTTATGGTGCTGAAGAGAGAAGACTTGTTTTCCATATAGAGAAACTTCCATTAGAATAAGACTCCTGGCTTCTCTCCATACTAAGGGAAGATTAGTGAGTTTGGAAAAAGTGATTGGACAAGAACAGTTGCTTCTGAATTCTCTATTTGGATTTGGCTGACTGCAGAGAGCAGATGTTTCCATGTGCTCTCACTAGGGGGTAAGTGAATCTGTTTCAGGGACAGAGTGATACTATTGTCCTGCACTACCTGCCACTATAGAAATAAATCTACTCAATTCAGGGAGAAATATAGCAAGCCCACTTAGCTACAGACCAAAAGCTAATTTTTCCGGTCAGCTTCATCAAAAATTAAGGTAATATTTTTGTCCTGTGTCTCTTTCTTGTGTCCATGCCCTAGTTTGTTCCAAACTCAGAATGGGGAGGGAGGTATTACTTACAGAGATCCCCAAATACAACATTCAATACCAGTGATTTCCATTTAGAAAGTATGATGGAAAAAAATCATATTCACATTAGCAATGAATACTATAAGGTATATGCTAGGCATATACTTAACAACAAATGTCAAGATCCGTAGAAACAAACCATAAAACCTGACTGAAGGACATAAAAGATCTTAATAATTGGAAAAATATAACAAATCCCTGGGCAGGAATTCTCAATAGTGCAAAGATACTATATCTCCCCAACATACCTGATAAATTTAGTAAAATTCAGATCAAAGAACCAATAGGATTTGAGGGATGGGTTGAGATGGAACATGACAAAATTATTTTAAAATTTACCTTGATTGGTCCAAGTGTGGTGGCTAATGCCTGTAATCCCAGTATTTTGGGAGGCTGAGGTGGGAGGATTGCTTGGGATCAGGAGTTTGAGACTGGACTGGGCAACATAGTGAGACTCATCTCTAAATTTTTTTTAAAATGAGCCAAGTAAGGTGGTGTGTGTCTGTGGTCCCAGCTACTTGGGAGGCTGTGGTAGGAGGATTGCTGGAACCCAGGAATTTGAGGCTGCAGTAGGCTATAATCACGACACTGCACTCCACCCTAGGCAACAGAGCAAGACCTTGTCGAAGAAGAAGAAGGGGGGTGGGGGAGGAGGAGGAAGAAGAAGGAGGAAGAAGTAGGAGGAAGAAGTAGAAGGAAGAAGAAGAAGAAGAAAGAAGAAAGAAGAAGGAAGAAGAAGAAAGAAGAAGAAGGAGAAAAGAAGAAGGAGAGGAGGAGGAGAAGAAACAACTTATCTTGATAAATAAGTATCAGGAAATACCCATGAAATTATTATTATTATTATTTTTCTTGAGATGGAGTCTCGCTCTGTTGCCCTGGCTGGAGTGCAGTGGTGCAGTCTCGGCTCACTGCAACCTCCACCTCCCAGGTTCAAGCGATTCTCCTGCTTCAGCCTCCTGAGTAGTTGGGGTTACACGCACTTGCCACTACGCCTGGCTAATTTTTGTATTTTTAGTAGAGACAGGGTTTCACCATGTTGATCAGGCTGATCTCAAACTCCTGACCTTGTGATCCACCTGCCTTGGCCTCCCAAAGTGCTGGGATTACAAGCATGAGCCACTGTGCCTACTGAAATTTTTGAAATGAAAGAATAATGAGAAAATATTACTCTAACAATTATTAAAATGTAATGTGAAACCAGAAAAAACTATGGGCCACTAATGTAGGAATATACACTTTTGTCATATATTAAGTTCTGTTTATAAATGCTTTGTTTTTATCCATTGATCTATTTGTGTGTGTGTGTGTGTGTGTGTGTGTGTGTGTGTGTGTGTGTGTGTGTCTGTGTGTGTGTGTATACAGATATATATATATGGTTTTTTTTAAGTTCTGGGATACACGTGCAGAACGTGAAGACTTGCTACACAGGTATACATGTGCCAAGGTGGTTCGAGGCACACATCGACCCGTCATCCAGGTTTTAAGCCCCGCTTGCATTAGGCATTTGTCCTAACGCCCTCCCTCCCCTTTCCTCCCACCCCCCTGACAGGCCCTGTTGTGTGATGTTCCACTCTCTCTGTCCATGTGTTCTCAATGTTCAACTCCCACTTGTGAGTGAGAACATGTGGTGTTTGGTTTTCTGTTCCTGTGTTAGTTTGCTGAGATTTGTATATTTTAAAATAAATGTTCCTCTAAAGGTATATCCGTTGCATATTATATATTTATTGTATATAATAGGACCATCCCTTTTAATCTATTATTTGTATATACATACACAAATAAGATACAAATTTGTATATTTCCATGCACCCTACTCCAAACCATATTATCTGGCCTAGACCACTCTAGTCATTTCCTTACTGGTCTCTTGGCTTTGCCCTATCCAAACAATGGAAAACAGCAACCAGAGCAGTCATTTACAAATAATAATAGGCTTGGTGTGGCGGCTCATGCCTGTAATTCCAGCATTTGAAGAATGCTGAAGCAGGAAGATCGCTTGAGGCCAGGAGTTTGAGATCAATAAACATAGTGAGACTCCATCTCTACAAAAAATAATAAATTAGCCAGGCGTGGCATGTACCTGTAGTCTCAATTACTTGGGAAGCTAAGGTAAGAGAATCACTTAAGCCCAGGAGTTTGAGACTATAGTGAGCTATAATTGTACCACTGCACCCCAGCCTGGATGACAGAGAGACCCTGTCTCTAAAAAAAAAAGCTTT